TGGGTGTGAACCACCATCCTTGTGGTTAGCAGTCCAGTGCTAATCCTACAGTGTTACTCCAGGACTCCACTCGTTGTTACTAAGTGTTGTCGAGCTGCTTCTGACTCACAATGACCCTGTATATAGATAGGGTTTCCAAGGAGCAGCTGGTGAGTTTGAATTGCTGACTTTGTGGTTCGAAGTCCAGTGCTGATCCTACAGCACCACACCACACCAGGAATCCATGGATTCCTTGTTGTTGTTGTTGTTGTTGTTAAGTGCCGTTGAATCGGTTCTGACCCATAGCGACCCTGTATAGAGTTTCCGAGAAAACACTGCTGAACTTGAACCACTGACCTTGCAGTTCAAACGGCTTTGCACTCTGGCACATTAACCCACAGTGCCACACCAGGGCTCCATGGATCCCTTGTTGTTAAGTGCCATTGAGTCGATTCTGACCCATAGCAACCCTGTATAGGGTTTCTGAGGAGCAGCTGGTGAGCTTGAACCACCAACCTTGCAGTTCAAATGACTTCACAGTCTGACGCATTAGCCCACAGCACCACACCAGGACTCCTTAGCACATACTAAATGTTTATTAAGTCCCAGACTTCCTTTGTCACGCCATTGTGTCTCAGTGGGAGCTGTGTTGGCACTGTAGATGTCGTTGTGGAACATTTAGCACTTTCAGTGCCAGTCCCCTCACCGCCAGCCGTACCCTTGTCATCCTCTAGAGTGCAGTTATGATGGGGACAGAGGTTTTATCTATCCACTGTACTTTTCTCAGTGCCTCAAATGTGCCTGGTGTGTACAGTGTTGATGAATGAATTATGACCATGGAAAAAGTCCCCTGGGGTGGGATTTCCAAACTCTTCCAAGGGTGTTACCACCTCCTATTCAATTCTCACCTTCAATGACGTCCATGATGGGTGATGGTCTGCCTTGGTTTAACCTCTTCCTTCCATTATTGGATGTTTATTACTGCAAAGGACAGTCCATTCTGTGGTATAGCTCATTCACCAAAAAAAAAAAAAAAAACCTCACCCTTCTTTCCTCTTGAACTATAATCAAGTGAAGTCTGGTACCCAGAATGGAACAGGGCTGTGGCCTGACCCTACAGAGAACACTGTGATTGGCACATCCCTAGGAGTCCTAGTGTGGCGCTGTGGGTTAATGTGCCAGACTGCAAAGCCATTTGAACTGCAAGGTTGGCAGTTTAGGTTCACCAGCTTCTCCTCAGAAACCCTATACAGGGTCGCTATGGGTCAGAACTGACTCAATGGCACTTA